GTTCGGTTGTCGTGCTTTTCGGCAAGAACAGGCCTGCTCTGCTGAGGCCTTCGTGGCGGTAAAGGTGCTAAGCGCTTCAAGAACTATGCTTGCAACGACCCCTTAAACCAGTTCCCTAAATGGAACCCCCTGCAAAAGCCCGACAAAACCCTCATAAAACCCAGTTGAACACCTTGACATAAACGGCACAAAGCCCTAGACAAAAACCCTTACAAAACCTTCATCAAACCCTAGAGAGAAAGCCCCTTCGCCTTAAACCCTTAAAAAACCGCATAAACCCTAAACCTTAAGCCCCCCTAAACCCCCTAAACCCCCAAACCCCCCAAACCCCCGAAACCCCCTGAACCCCCTAAACCCTAAACCCCCTAGACCCCCTAAACCCCCCAAACCCCTAAACCCCCTAAACCCCCGAAACCTCCTAAACCCGCTAAACCCCCTAAACACCCTACACACCCCAACAAAGCCCCGAAAAAAACCCCTCAAAACCCTAAATGGAAAGAGAGAGCCCCCCAAACCCCCCTCCCCCCCTTTCCCGGCCTTCAGATTTCCGAAGCCCAGGAGTCCAAGATCTTCGCTGAGGCCCCGGAGTTCGGCGAAGCGGCCGGAGGACAAGTCAGCAGCCTCTTTAGGTTCCAGGGTTTAGGGTCTTTAGGTTCCAGGGTTTAGGGTCTTTAGGTTCCAGGGTTTAGGGTCTTTAGGTTCCAGGGTTTATTCATAGAGCTTAGGCCTTGTAGGGTTTGGGGTTTAGGGTCTATAGGGCTTATAGGGTTTATAGGGTTTATAGGTTTTTAGGGTTTAGGCTTTAGGGTCTATAGGTTCCAGGGCTTATTCATAGAGTTTAGGGCTTATAGGGTTTGGGGTTTAGGGTGTATAGGGCTTATAGGGTTTATTGGGTTTATAGGGCTTGTAGTAGGGTTTGTAGGGCTTATAGGGTTTATTGGTCTTATCGGGCTTATAGGGCTTTTAGGGTTTAGGGTTCAGGCTGGGGTTCTATGGTAAGGGTTCGGCTTCGATTGTAAAGGCTGCGGTTCCATCGTAACGATTCGAGTTCTATATAGTAAGGGTTAGGATTTTCGTGTACGGGATAGGGCTTAGGGCTTAAGGTTTAGCATGTGGGGTTTAGGGTAGATGGCCAGTTTACGGTTCCGGCTTCAGAAGTTCAGGCTGAGGGTTAAGAAACTAAGGTCTAGGGCATCGAACCTGGCGTTAAAAGTTTAGATTTATGGTTGGCGGCTTGGAATTCAGGTTGAGGGGTTAAGCACAAGGGCTTTGAACTTTAGAGTGTATCTTGCTTAGGTTTTAGAATTTGGGGCTGAGGGCTTAGGATTTTGAGGGTTCTACAGCGACGGGCCGCTGCTTCGGGGAACTCATAGGGTTGAGGCTTAAAATTTCGGGTTTCGGGTTCAGGACTCAGGGCACAAGGGTTTCTTTGTAAAGGTTTCTATATGCTTTGAGGGCTCTATAAAGGTTGCTATGAGAGTTCAAAGGGGTCTAGTGTGGGGGATCTACAAGGGGTGTTTAGTTTGAGGACTACTTTAAGGGTTCTCCGTCCAGGGTCCATAGGGGTGCGGGGCTTCAGGCTATGTTGCGAGGTACCATAAGGCTTCTTTACGAGCTTAAGGGTTAATGACTTCAGGGGTCTAGCTAGGGCTGTGGGAGTAGGGATGCCTGGAGGTCTAGGCTTGAGGGACTCAGGGCTCAAGACTGTTCGATTCCATGACCTCAGAAGTCTGAAGGCGACCTTAGGGATCAGAAGAGGATCTGGAGGGTCAACATCCACTCCAGGGCTTTCCGGATGGACGAGCGATCGTCGAGGGCAACTGCTGCATGAGGACGGCCCCCTAATTACACCCTAAACCCCCTGTTGCTGTAATATCCGTTGCATCATCTGCTGCAGCTGAAGTTGGTCAGGAGGGAGGCCTGAAAAGCTCGTGGCACCACCTCCCGCAAAACTCGGCAGCGGTTGCGGGGTGGGATCCGGAGAGCGCGCTGAGATGCACGGCTTCTCCCTCATCCACTTTGAAACCCTCTGCGTGTCCAAAGACTGCCGGGCCTCATTACAATACAATGGTCAGTGGGTCTTACTATTATTTTTATTTATGATTATGATTACTATTGTTATTGTTATTATCATTTTTACTATTATTATTACTACTATTCTTATTATGATCATCATTATTGTTATTACGACTAGCATCAGTATTGCTGTTCTAATGGTAAATCCTATTACTATTTTTTGATTGTTCCTGCTTCCATGCACTGCTTCGACATGACGAGTTCCCGACAATGTCGACTGAGTAGCAGCTACTGCTTCCTCAAACAACCCGGCATCCCAAACCCCAAATCCCAACTACTGCTACCTCAAACAACCCGGCATCCCAAACCCCAAATCCCAAATTCTGAAATCCGCTAAATCCACACCGTAAACCCGAAACCCGAAACCACAAGCCCCAAACCCTCAACCATTAACTCGAAGTGGGAGCTACATCAGCCCCATGAGGGTGCTGAGATGGTCTTCTGAGTTCATCTCCCAAATTGGGAGGGCTTCTTCAAGGCAGGACTTCGGGTTTACTGCAAAGGGTCTCTATTGTGAGAACCCTGCTTTTATGTATAACTTCGATTGTGACTTGTTTTCAGGCACTCCTTGAAAATAGACATGGGTATTCTTCTGCCAACATAGACAAAGCCAAAGCAAGCAGCCGTTTGTCGTCTTCTCTTCAGGGATATCTGACTCACCGGGTGCCCGTTTAGCTACGGCAGAACTGAGCATAATTCTGAAGGAAGAATCCTCATGGTAAACCTGACTCACCGTGTAGTTTCAGGAAGCCCGTGCCCCGAATCTCTAGACAGGGCCCTCAACCAGGAAAGCCTCCGAACATATAGTCCCAGTCTCGCTACACTTACTATGGGAGGTTTGCAGAAGAAAAAGGGTTCGCATTGGAGGTTTGCTTGACTTCAGGCTCAAGGAGCGTCGGCTTTGGGGTTCAGACTTCAAAAACTGGAATGAGCTGAGGATTTGTGGATTCGGGTTTTGTTGGAGGCTTCCTTGGGTTATCCATTTTCCCAGCCTGCTCGTGGAAGTCAGTCCGGGAAGCCTCATGCGCCTCCTGCGCAGGCACTGAGGTATTGTAGTGCTTCCTTACGCCCCTAGACGCACGGAGGATCCCCTCGCGAGTGCAGGGCCTAGTATGCGAAGGCCCTCGGCCTAAGGTGGGAAGGGAACGCGATGGAAGCTTCCCCGAGGATATTTCTCCCAAACATTTACACATGTCCACATATCTCTTCTCCTCTTGCAGGAACACTCAAACAAACTTTAAGCCCTCAAGCCCAAACTCCTGATGCTGGCACAGATGGCCTTGCACCCCAGGAGCCCCGAAAGCTCAAATGCGCTCTAAGGCTTACAATCCTGACTTTTGCACTAAACCCCCGTCGTTCGGGACCCTTGGAGCTAACTTCGGGACTTTGGAGTGGGGCTTTACATCCAGGCCCACAGAATCAAGTCAGGGTTTTGGGGCTTTCGGATATCAGAGGGGTTTAGGGATTGTTGTAAGGGTTTGGAGCTTTAAGGTTGTAGGGTTTAGGGAGTTTAGGGGCTTTAAGGGTTTCGGGCTTCAGAGTTTAGGTTTCAAGACTCAAGGATAGGACGGGAGCTGAGGTCTACCAGGTATACTGTACTATAGCTCTAGGCGAAGCTCAGAGACTGTGGAGGAATCATGCTAGCGTTGAGGATTCCAGATTCCTAGCGGCAGAACTCAACTCTTTCGGATATTCGGGCAGAAATCAGGACACAAAGAAGTTCCGAAAAGGCCGAACGCAAACCTACAATTAAAACAGCCACTGTGCACACAACACTCGAAGTCGACATACGCCATTCCAGCGTCGAGCTCTGTACAACACTCCCAAAACGAACCTGCACTGCAACCCCCCTAAGGCCAATACGAAAACCTGTAGGCGCTTCCATCCAGAACCCGCACACCGAAAATCCGGATGCTCACGGCTCGCAGTCGCAGACCGCCCCGATCCTCCTTGTCTTTGACCCGGGTAGACGAGGTCGCAGAGGACATGAGCACAAGGTTCAAAGGCTGAGATGCACTGCAGACCCAACGTCCCCAGATATGCCACAAACCCCAACGGCAGGACTCCTTACGGCCCTTAACATTGCTCTTCTCAACGTGTCTTGTCTCACTTCTTCTATCCTTGCTGCTGATATGCATATGATCACGAGTCTTCGTATTCGTATCATGACGAACAGAATCACCACGAGCAACCGGAGTAGTAAGAGAAGGAGGAATAGTGGTCGTCGTCGTGGTGGCGGTGGTAGCAGTGGTAGCAATAGCAGCAGCAGCAGCAGCAGCAGCAGCAGCAGCAGCAGCAGCAGCACAGCAGCACAGCAGCAGTAGCAGTAGCAGTATCATTAGCAGGAGTAAGAGTAGGAGTAGTAGTTGTAGTAGTGGTGGGAGTAGCAGCAGCAGCAGGAGGAGGAGTAGGAGGAGGAGGAGGAGTTGCAGTTGCAGTTGCAGATGCAGCTGCGGTTGCAGTTGCAGTTGCAGAATCAGCAGTAGCGGTAGCGGTAGCGTTTGCGGTAGCAGGAGCAGTAGCAGGAGCACTAGCAGCAGCAGCAGCAGCAGCAGCAGCAGGAGGACATAAAGAACAGCGGAGCTCTGCACACCTCATGTCTTGCATGCTGGTTGTTTCTGTTGAGACAATGGTCACGATGCTTGCTGCGTGTGGTGCTGAGCTTAAGCAGTTTAGGGAGTAGTGACTGTAGCCGAGCAGCCTGTTGCTTCCCACAGTCTCCGTTGCACTTCAATGCTGTGGATAGCCGTTCTTACTGTTCGGCTCCTGGAAAAATTTCAGAATCACAGTATCCACAAAAAGAAACGACAGTGACTCGAGGTACTTGGTGGATCTTGTGCGGTTAAGATCAACAGCTCCCTGTGCAGAACACCTACATCACGGTCAACGGATTTCACCGGGGCAAGGATGGGGCAGAAGTCAATATGGAAGGTGCGCCTCAGGGCTTCGGGGACTTCATGGGTACCCCCTCTGCTTCTTGGGGCTTAGGATTGAGGGTTATGGTATGCCTTGGCCACGGTTTAGGGTTTAGGGTTTAGGGATGTTTAGGGTTTAGGCTTAGGATTGAGGGTTATAGTATACCTTGGAGCGGTCTCTCAGGATGGCTCCTTGGCGCCACTGTAGTGGGCTGGGGACTTTCTTTCAGGAGCCGCCGATGCTGCGACAACGGGAGTTGTTGGATCAGGGTTGGATCGCCCTGTCCAGCCGTTGCGAAGGTCTGTAGGACGCAGTTTAATAAGGTCACCGTTCTGAAGCCCTGAGCCCTAAAGCCTTGACCCTCAAACCCCGGCCCCCAACCCTAGAAACCTAAACCCTAAACCCTTAACCCTTAAACCCTGCAGGACCGTTGCAGTGTCGGGAGAGTTCCGCTGGCTTTGCCCTGGTTCAGAGCTTAGGATAATTATAGGGTTTAGGGCTTAAAGAAAATCTCCGAGATGAAGTCCACCTCCGTCCCTCTGACGTGCGCGCTTCCCCGAAGCTCCCATCCTCTAAGCCCTAAGCCTTGAACCCTAAACCCGGAACCCTAGACCCTAAACCCTGAACCCGAAACCCCAAACCCTGAATCCTGAACCCTCAACTCGCAGCTTCTGCAGGCTTCCGCGCCCTGTCGCAAGACACGAAGGTTGCCATCTGCAGCGTGCCGCTCCTCAAGTAGCGGCTTCAGGTTTGGGCGCTTCTTAGGGCGGGCATGGCAGCGTTCACCCCAAAGTCTATCTACTGACCACTCGAACCTCTAAGCTAGAATATTTACAGTCATAGCTGGACCTCAGTGGGCATTCAGCTTCGTACTCACCGGCTTTTTTCGGCTTGAGACGGTGTCTATAGAGTTGGCGTGTCGGATTCTAGGCTTAGAGCACGTTTAAAGCTTGCGAAACGAAGCTCAGTAGCTGAGAGGGTAACCCTTGCTGTAACCCTGATCCTTCTTGGGTATATGTATAGATGTATGTTTTTCTACGAGACCCTAAACCCTAAGAGCCTACCATGAAGAGAAAAAAGCTTGAGACTGATCGGAGCCCGGATCTCAAGATCTAGGTAGGTCCTCATGATGTATGGATCGAAAGCTCCGCATGAGGTTTGTTCCTAGGTTTCACCTTTTGGAACAGTGTTTGGGTAGTTCTCTGAATCAGGGGCCCTCTTTAGGTCCCCAACACTGTACGGCACCCTTATAAAAAGGTGCCGAAAAGGGACCCTAATTAAGAGAACTTCCCGATTATTTTCCCTGACTGGGCCCACTGGATCTTGTTTACGAAACCTTCTCCAAAAAAAGAAGTGACCATCCTAAACCATAAACTCCAAACCCCAAATTCCATGGCCGCCGGTATTCATCTTTATCATGTCTGCAGCTTGGTGGTTGGAGCTCACACGGGTCCTTCTGACCTACTTGTTGCAGTGTACTGCATTACGGACCTTGTCGTGTCTGTCTAAGGTGCCGCTATCTCAGCCCTACTTCACCTACACCATCCTGCTTATTTGGACCATGACGTGCCGTGGCTGCCCTTCAAGTAATGTGGAATCCCCAGTCCGACACCCAATGATATTCTGGGATCCCTTTATGTACTTATACTGTAGTTTACATACAGTACCCGAAAGCCTTAAGTTTTCTAGTCATTCGCGGCCGTACATATGACATCCTCTCAGTTCTTCAACCGGCCAGCACTCTTGTTGATTGTAACGCCCAGCCCCACGCAGAGAACCTAAGGGTTGAGGGTTGTAACGAGGCTCCTTCGGTTTTGCGGCTTCGAAAACCTAAGCCCTAAACCCTAATGCAACCCTAAACCCCTTGTGCCTGAGATGATCCTTCGACCCTAAACCCTGAACCCTAAACACCCTGAACACGAAACCCTGAACACCCTAAACCCTAAACCGCCTGCCCACAAAGGAGCCGAGAAGCACCGCAGATCCGAAAGCTTCAACCCGCAGTCAGGGTCTAGAATTTTTGGGATTCAGGGTTTAGGGCTAGGGGGTTTAGGGGCCTAGGGTATAGGGGGTTTAGGGTTTGGGAATGTTAAGAAAATGCAGGACTTATAAGAGTTTAGGGTTTTCAATTTAGGGTTCAGGGTTTGCGAAGTGTTTAGGATTTGGTGCTTAGCGTTCAGAGTTGGGGATTTAGGGTTTCGGGTGCAGAGCTTAGGGCTTAGGCTTCAGACTTTAGGGTTTTGGTGTTTAGGCTCATGCTGGGCACTGCGCGACTAGAAGACAGCGATTTTGGGTTGGCGGGCGTCCACAGTACGTTTCAGTTGCATTCAGTTGGTGTACGGTTTCAGTACCGGTTGCTTCCAAGATATATAGGCACCAAACACCCGGACGAGGTGCCTCGCGGAAATTCGGCGTGCAGTGAGGCTGCTTTATGCCACGCTGATCTCGATTCCAACAGTGCCTAAGCTGAGCTCTAAAGCCGCAGCTCGCTTGCCAGAGATGTGGCATTCAGGAACCCTCAACCCCCAAAAAAAGCCCGAAATACTCGACCTGGACCCCTTCTACAACCGGTCAAACTCTGACCCGAATCCCTAAACCCGGACTCTAAAATCCCAAAGTTCGAGGTAGTAACCCTTCTGAACCCTGCTTCTGGCTCTCTTAAAAGGGATCTTATGGAGAGGGTCTACACCCCCAAGGGTCCCCCTAATCCGAACTCCCACAAAGAGATCTTGGTCTTCCAGATCCAGCGTTATCCTCATCCTGGGTGTGGAGCCCTGCCCAACTCGCCTAAGCCAGACACCGCAAACCCTTGACCCTAAGCCTTAAACCATAATTATGGTTTGTTATTAAAAAAACCCTTAAACCATAATGAAGGTTTGGGGTTTAGGGGCCCTACCATACACCTTGTAAGCCTTAATCCCGCAGAAACACCTACAGGGTCTACATAGGTCTTCCACGGGATGTTGTAGGGTTCCACAGAAATACTTGCAGGGTGTCAGAGGGATACGATTGTAGGAAATAGGAACACTGGAAGGGTCATATACGATAGATGTGTTGGAGTGCAGAAAAAGATTTCTTCAAGGCCAAATTAAATTGCTGTTTCCTGAAGCTTAGACCTTGGCAGCACGAAACCCAAGCTCAAAGCCCTCCAAAAAGCGACAACCTAGGGTTGAGGGTTTAGGGGTCTTGACCTAAAGGCCTAAACCCTGAGCCCCCTGTGAGGTCACGTACGTGGAAGAAGTCTTGGAGGAGCCGTGTCCAACCCAACAGCACAGCTTGTTATTAGTATAGGGGCCGAAACAAGTACCTATACTATGTTTTTTTTTTGGAGGGGTGTCCTTATTAATAATTATCGCATAATCTACCCCAAAGCCTTATTCTGATTATTAAGAACCCTATATTATTTCCCTCTCCTGGCTCATAGTTTCGGGTGGTTGCGCATCGTGGCGGAGCAGCTTTACAGGGCCCGGAGATTTCTGGTCCTTTGTTTTCAGGGTTCTGGGTGTTTGTTCATGTGTCTAAGATTGTTTTGCAGTCGTTTGCTTGCAGAGGGCTTGGACATGTTGGAGTTTTTGGGCTGCTTCCACGTCCGAGATGCTTCGTTTTTTGAGATTCCTTGGACTGTAAGCTTTAGGGCAGGGTTCAGGGTTTAGGGAAAGAGTTTAGGGCTTAACTGGTTCCCTAAACCCTGAACCCTGAACCCTGCCCTGAAGCTGAAGCCCGAAGGCCTGAACACTTGAGGCTACTGAAAGCCTCAAGCTTCGTTGCCCCAGACCCTAAACGTTGTGTTCCAGTGAGTCTTTCTTTTCCAGATGGTTGCTGGTTTTCCTACGATGGCTGTAGTATATGGGATGTTTTCGGACCTAAACATACTCGATGTGGGCAGGTGTTTCGGGGATAAGACGACTGGCTTTCTTCGGGTTCGGGGTTCTTCGAGACTCCTCCCCAACACCCGCCCAGAGAGCCCAGGAGACGACCATCAAAGGAATGACCAGAGGCCAACGCTACCGGTTTAGGGTTTAGGGTATCGGTATAGGGTTAAGGGTATAATTTTAGGGTTCAGGGTTTAGGGCTGAGGGTTTAGGCTATAGGGTTTAGGGTTTAGGGTTGTTTATCGAACTTGACGTGTACGGGATCGAGAAATTGGGATTTCAGCCTCTGCCCGGGTCGAAGTCTGACAAAACCCAGAACCCTAAACCGTGAGGCCCTAAACCCGAACGTACCCTGAACCCTAAACCTCGAAGCCATAAACCCCCAACCCTTTAAAAAAACTCCACAGCCGTAAACCCTAGCCCCAATTTAACTAAGATCAGCCAACAATCAATTCTGGAAGCTCTTTGCACCGCCACGTCCTTGCCAGACAAAATAACCGGGAAGGCTGTGTTCAACGTAGCTTATAATAAAAACCGATAAAGCACCCTTATAAAAAGGGCCCTGAACGAGACCCTGCATCATTTAGAGAACTACCCAATTACATAGACCCGTAGGAAATGTGAAACCCAGTTGACCCTAAACCCGTAAATCAATTAAGTGGCTTATGCACCGTCAAAAGCCCAACACCCCGTGCATCCACCGGAAGCTGCTTAGCTCCAAAGCCCTGCTAGGACTCTCCTGCAGAGCCAGGGTTGGGGGGCTTTGAAGTGCAGGGGGTTTTGGGTTTAGGGCGGTGTAGGCTTGAGGGTCCCGATTAATTACCCCAGGCCCCGAAATATTTCGGCCACAATCCCTCGAGCCCTCGGTTTCAGCCCGGATGCAGAGAGGCATGAAGTTCTTCATCGGCATTTTCTGCTTCCTACCCCGCATCGCCGCGACGATGCTACTGAACTTCCTGGGCTGTCGCTGGCTCCTCTCGACGGTCAGCCTGCAGGAGAGCCGGTGGAGATCCCCCCCCCAGGTACCCTCAAACTTTGATGGATTCCTTATGTCCTGTGGGTATCTAGGGGGACCTGTAGGGGTAATTGTAGGTTTACGGTTTCTGACCAGCTATCGTTTCGGTTCCGGGTTTACGGGTTGGGTGGGGGGTTAAGTTGAAAGTTGAGAGCTAGTGGGGAAGGTTGCGCACGCAACCCTCTAAACCCCTCAACTCTTTTGGGGCTCTGGTGTTTTGGGCTTGGAGCCTATATAGGGACTTCGAATATTAGCTTGGGTGTACTCTGCTGTTCTTGACCCCAAACCCAAATCCGCACAAAGGGAAGTCTGCATTTTCGGTTGCTGATTATGATTTTACAACAGCCCTGCAAAAAGTAGGTTAACCCTTGTCATTCTTAGTCTGCATCCGTAAACCCTAAACTGTCGATCCCAACTCCTAAGCCCTGACACTTCTGGACCTTATAGCGCTCACTGTAGCCGCAGCGAAGGGCTTCTGTTGCAAACGGCAACAGGTTACGACCTGCGTTCCACAGAGGGCTTAGGGCTTTTAGGTGCTATTCCCCAAATCGGCACCCTCGACTTCTAAACCATTCAGGAAAACACAATGCAAATTGCAGGACCTCTTCTTGAACTCCTTGGCTCTGGAGTTCATGGCCTCTTGGCTTCTTCTTGGTTGCCCTGAACCACACAACAGCAGCGTGGTTGTATCTGCCCGCAGCGCGGGCGAGACCCGAGCAGCGCGGTCTGAAGGTGGACATTGTAATTTATGGACCGAAAAAAGAAACCGGTGAGTTGGAGTAGAATGGTGGATAGTGTTACAGTATGTTTTGGGAAACCCTGAGGACCTGTTCGGGCCCCTACATAAAGTTAGCAGAACGGAGCAAGTATGCGAAATCTCAATCACCCGATTACACGTTAATGGAGCTGCTACTGAAACATCAGACGCTGGATGTAAAGAAAGTATCAAGGTAATACACAGTACAACTTGCTATGATATAGTTAATAAATATATTAAACCGAAAGAATCTATTTTTGTTGGTAAGGAAGCACAGGAAATCGGTCTTATCGCGCAAGACTTTTCCACTTCAAAGATGCCTAAGCATGGGTCAAAAGTTGTAGTGAAAGATACTGACGATGAGTATTTCAGACTTAACTATTAAGATGAATGTCGTATTATGGAGTGCCGTCCAACATCTAATGTCAGAGGTGAAAGCTGAGATTACCAAGGTAACAGGGAAAGGAAAAGGAAAACGTGATAGTGATTAGAATAGAAACTAGTAAAAACAAAAAACAAATAAATAAATAAATATATATATATATCCGGTTTTCATAGTGAAAACGTTACTTGTATGGAAATAATCAAACAAATAAGTAGAGACATATCAGAACCTGAATTACTTTTAAGGGCAATGAAGACTTGTTAAACAAATTAGATGAGGAAGACAAAGAAAGTGAAAGCAGTAACAAGAAGAGAAAGCGTCCGTGCTTCGGTTTTACTCACCTACACTGTTGTAATCCGAGCTTGCTTTAACAATTAATATTATGGTTAGGATATTACTAGTGATCCCCTTATTTCAAATCATTGTTCAGTAAGTCAAGAATGGCAGGATATCGTGTATTTTCAATGATGTTACCATGCCAAAGCAGGTAAGTATCTAACGCTGTGTAAACACGCGGTGACTTGTTGTGAATGTTTGGATAGCATGAAAAATATATGAATACACGAGAAAATGAGTTTCAATACGAAAGGGAAAAGTGAGTTAAAAAGATAGTGTCTCTTATATGTAGCATGGAAGGTCCAAAAGTTAAATGCCCAAGGTCTCACAGTAAACATGTAGTTGAAGAATTTGGATACAGCAAGCATAACAAATTATTTGCAAATTGTGTTAAATGCAGAAAGAAGAGGGGAGAGGATACAAAAAGCGAGATGATAAGCCGTCAGAAATCGTTCTTGTGTTTAACCATACACAAGGCAATGATGGAAATTCCTATGAACAATGAGGTAAAGGATCTCCATAGTAAGCAACTAGAACAAACCACTGAAAAACAGTCAGTTTGCTAAGCCGTATCGGGTAGTGCATTCATAAATATAATGTAGACATACTTTAAAAGAGGCGCTATGGGTATAGTATGATTACAACCCTTGACCCTAAACCTAGCAAAATCTATAAGGGAACTTTTGCCCATTTTGGGATGATAATCCCACCTTAGGTAATATGGATAGGGTAGTTGGTTATTCCTATAGTTGTAATGGTAATGGGGAAGTAAAGGCGATTTAGTTGTTGAGATGTAGGGGGAGTATAGGAATAATCTTCTAATGGGTTGACTGGTGGTATTATTACCCAAAATGGGCAAAGGTTCTGCCAACCCATATATAAACCCTGATCCTTGAACTGCATGCAGCCGCCAATGGCAAGAGCAGACTGTCCCCAAGGCCTCACACGCGAGGCTCTGAATCCTAAACCTCAAGCCCCAAGGCTTGGAAGTTTATCCCCCAGGCTCCGAACCCTAAACCCTAAACCCTAATCCCAAACCCTAAACCCAAACCCCTAAATCCCAAACCCCTAAACCCCTAAACCGAGGCCCCTAAACTCCGAGGTTTCTGAATCCTAGAAACCCCGAGGTTGTTCTGCCAGAGCTGCTTTACAACACCTTCGCGACCGACCGAGGACAGAAGTGGCTTGGATGCGGGTTTAGGGTTTAGGGATTGAGGGGTTTGGAGTTTAGGGGTTTAGGGTTTCGGATTCAGCTTGTGGTCTGTAAGGGCGTGGGTTTGCGCGGGGTTTAGGAATGGGGTCTTTATGGGTTGTATGTGCGTTAAGGCTTCTAAAAGTTGTCTTTAAAGGTTCCGGTTTCATGACGTTTGGGCTTGGGGGTTTGAACTTCGGCATTTCAGGCGAGGCTGCGCAGGGCGCAAACAGCATCGAGGAGCTTAGCGGTGCCCAAACAGTTTTGGTTGTTGAGGAGCCTAAACTCCAAAGCCCCGAGCCCTGAAACCTACATAGAGCGTATGACTCCGGGTTCAGGTTTTGGCTTTCATACCGTTTCCGGCATCTGCCAACAGTTCAATGCCGTGACGAGGTTGACGCAAGCCACCATTCTCGTGCCTCGGCAGTTTGAGGCGTTGTGAACACGTGCAGGGTTGTAGTCAGCCGCGACATACGTTTTCTCTAGCACAGTTTTTTTGTAGAATCGTAGAACCTTCTTGCTTCCCCGAATCACATGAATTTCCCCAAAGATGGAATTCACACGAGCGTCGTCATCCAGAAAAGTTGCTGACATCTGTTCGTGGATCCCCGCTAGTTTTCTTTTGCCCGTTTATTTTGGGGGCTTCCTCATCAAGCGGAACAAGGGGAAACAGGGCTCTGCTATTGTTGTTCAGGGGATAGTGTCGAAGCAAGTTTCAAGGCCGGCAAATTGCTATATAAGGAGGAGGTCTACAGTAATGAGTTCCTGCGCTGGCGTTTTTCACCTGGAGCCTGACAAGTGTTGCATCGCCCCAGGCTGGCGACAACGCATCTTCGTCGCTTTGCCTGTTTAGTTTGTGAGGGCTCGCTGCAAACAGAACTGCGGGGCACAAAACGTTTCAGTTCACACTAAGTCTTAAGTTGTAAGCCTTAAACCTTGCTAGTCATTCGCCGCCTGAATTCAGAAAGGGACGCTGCCTTAATTAACCCCTGAAGCCGCAAAGCCTACAGGCGTACACTACCTTAGAGTCCTTAGAGCCCAAAGGTTCGGGCTGAAGCCTTGCATGCGGCGCTGAACCGTAAGCCAAGCTGCAGCTTGGGGGGGGGGACTTAATTATCATTGCTTATTTTTGTTGGGTGATGGCACCTCTTATAGGGAGCGCAAAAGAGTAGTTGTTGCATCATCATCACCATCGTCATCACCATCGTCATCACCATCGTCATCATCATCATCATCATCATATTCATATTCATCATCATCATCATCGTCGTCGTCGTCGGTGTCCTTATCAGCAATCGTTACTATTGCTTTTTATTGCCATTATTCTGTTGGGTTCAAAGGTCATATAATGGCTTCATGCCGTTCCTGGAGTTTGGAAGGATTCGTGCACAAACCTCATGTGTCCGGAGCTTCCAAACAAGCCCTGGGAGTACGGGGCATCCACGATTAGCGGGCATAGTGTCTAAAGCCGGGAATTTTGGAGCAACGCAGAAATTCTCACGCTTTGCAGAAGCGTTGAAAGCTAAACAAGTACTTTGCTCATGAGCTGAAGATCTGTGGCTTTGAAAGAATGAAAGGGTAGGTCCGGAAGCACAATAGAGCTCGAAAGTGCTGGGCCTTCTGGCCTCAAAGAATGGAAAGTTAAACCCTAAACCAGGTGCACCACCACGCAAGTATCAGGCCAACCTAGATAGACGATGCTAGATAATGCTAGACAATATGCTGGACAATGCTAGATAGTGCTAGACAATTCTAGATACTGCTAGAAAACGCTAGATTCCGGGCACTGCTTGCGGACAATGCTAGACAATGCCAGATAGTGCTACAAGATGTTTGGAAATGCTAGATTTCGGGCAGGGCACAGCGTTTGCCATGGACGTTTTTCGTTTTCAGGCTGGGCATCTTGAGTCGAAAATTCTCAGAAGCAGAATGTGCAGTTCCCAAGTTCAGCAGGTTGGTATCTAGCAGCTTGGTGGCTGATGCAGGAAATATCTCAGCATGGCTATCTGAACGCAGGATTTTTCATGGAAACGCGTGGTTTTCAAAAAGAACCAAGCTCCCGTGCACGAGTGCCGCTGTGAAGAAGACGGCTACACCATAATGACTGAACATAATCCCCTTTTTGACAAGACCTATACATCCGTGAGCAAACCACCGCACGCTTTCCAGGCCCAAAGGCACTAGCCTTCTGGTTGCATCGATGTGGGTCGCTCAGCTACAAAAGACCGCCACAAAGCCAAGGGAAGGGTTTACGGTAGAATCGCTTCAACGCACATGTCATGACATGTCCGAAGTTGAAACCGAAATCATAAAGCCCTCAGGCCCCGGATTCTAGTCAAGTTTGTAGAACCCCAAAAACTGAAGCTAAAGGTGAACTTGTAGTCGGATAATATAGTGGCCTGAATGCTTGCAAAAAAGAAGTTCCTGGAGTTCCTTTGTAGAACTATATTCGAATCACACCCAAAATCCGAGCCTAATTGTTGAGGCCGTTCTACTCCAATCTTAGTATAGCAGCCGTATAAAACCCGTAGAAGAACTCTTACTTAGTAAAGGAACCCATTCAATAATATGAACGCCTCCTGTATCACCCTGCTTCGAAGTTGGCGGATTGAGCTGCAAAACCTCGAAGGGTTCAGAGTTTGGAATTTTCGTGATTTTAGAACTTCTGGATCAGGGTTTAGGGCTCCTGCTCCTTTTGAAAGAGATGTCAACAACAACAAACTCTTCAAACTATGTTGTGCTTTGCTTCAGGCAGTGGAGCCTTCTGGGGGCAGGTACTCTGAGCCCAAGATTTCACCCAAAAAGATCAGGAGGGGAGCCCGAACCCCGCACCGGACTTGTCTGGTTTTGGTGGCTTGGATAACTGTGGGCGTTGGGTCTCAGGTTTAGGGATTGGGAGCTTGGCGTTTGGGGGTTTAGGGTTTCGGCTGGAAAACTGAATAAGATGGGAGTTTCAGAAAGCACGGGCCCTGTATATGGAGCCTTGCCAGAAGGATCCCTCTCATCAACATCCCCCGCGATTTGGTGCCCCAGTATTAAGAAACATCTTCGTGATGGCTTACTCGGAGAGGTCTTCGCAGCGCTCTTGTGGGTGTACCTCTACATGGTGTACGTGCAGCAAGTCCTTCCAGGCCGTGTGTCGTCGTCAGTTTTCCTAACTTTCAGCTTCTTCGACATTATGCTGGAAACTTTCCCACTCCCGGGATGTGATGCCTTGGTTTGACCATTGATCCTAATTAAAGCACTACAAGACCATGGCAGAGACCTCAAATGAAGTTCTTGCCTTTGGTTCCTCTCCTGCCTTATTAGTACCCGACTTAAAGGATCATGGGGACTTAGTAACGAGGCTAGGGATTAGAAACACCGTAAGTATATGCTTCCACTTGCTTTAAAAACCCAGTTAAGGTTCTTCAGGCCTCGCCTGCTAAGTCCCATGCTCCTCCAAGTAAGCCACCAGGATCCTAATCGCCCTAAAATCCCCGAAGCCATGACGAATATAAGGGTTTAGGGTTTAAGGTGTTTTTAGTAGAGGGGCCTAAATAATTACCCTTCTATTTTGGTGGCTTTGCTTAGCGTAGATACAGAAAAAACGGGCCCCAAAACCCTACTCTAACTGTTAAGGCACCTTAATATCACCCCAAAGCCTATCAGGATCTAGGATCCTCCGGCTCATGAGCCCAAAAAAGTCGGCTGTATACGGCGTTCGCATTCTGGGTTTAGGGGCCCGTTTAGGGTTTAGGGTTAGGGAACTGTTCAGGGTTTAGGGAACCGCTTAGAGGCTTAGAGTGTAGGGCTCAGTAGTTTTAGGGGTTTAGGGCTTCGGGGTGTAGAGCTGGGTTCCGGCACAAGGAGCTTGTGTAAGTAATCAATCCATGAACATGGGAGTTCATTTATTCACTGGCCTGCTATGTTGTTAAGTTCATCCGTTGTTGAAAGGCTTCGGCCAATTGTTCATCAAACTGACATAACACCTATCGCTAGATCACACCTCTTCGTTCTCGCCCCTTCATGCCTGTAACAACTAGCCGGTTACATGATTCCTTGGGCACATACCTCAGCAATAGACTTTGACCTTCTACTCGGTTGCCAGGTGTGCCGGACGTCCCAAGCCCCACCCGAAGGTTTTAGGATTTAGGGCTTTGTGGGGTTTGGGGCTTTTGGGCATCCCTATATATTGCTATACGGGCCCTGCAGCTCTACATCGGGATCATGGTGTCCCCCAGCTCTGAAACTGCAAGTACCATTCCTGAATAACAGACCCCTCAACCCTCAAAGCCCTAAGCCCCTATACCCTCCCAATGCTACAACCCTGAACCCCACAGCCTCGTCGTTTATGCGGATGATAGCTGGCCACAAAGCCCAGACAGGCTACAACTGGGATGTTCGACCGGTCTGCCGAGCCAACCCAGAAGTTTTCGCCCAAGAGACGTTTAGCCCGGGGACCTGGATTTGGGGCTCGGAGCTTTTCGGTTTGGGAGGCGGAGTGCAGGGTTCAATGCCTGGGGTGCGGTCTAGGGCTTGCTGAGGAGGAGGGAATTTGTGGCTTTTCGTCTTGCAGTTTAGTGGTCCTGCACGGGGCTTTGGGGTCATGCTGTCCTTCAAACTCAGGAGTTCAGGGTGTGGGCGTGCGGCTTTTGGGCGTAGTGTTTCCAGAGTCTTTCGCAACGCGAACTGAGAGAAGCCGCGTCTTCTTCGATCGTAGGACATAGCCAGTAAGGTCATAAGGAGCTTAAATGGGATTTCAAGTACAGCTGCCCCATATAATATATATATATATATATATTTATTTATTTATATTTATTTATTTGTTTATATGTAGCACTAGTTAGTGACTAAGGCCCATGATCCTTAAATAGGCAAGAAGGACAATGGCTTAGCCTGAACCCTAAATTCCCTAAACCCCAAACTCCAGTTAGGCCCTAGCTACTAAGCCATGATCCTGAAACTAAGAGGGATAGTGAGCTAGCCTGATGGAGACCGAAACCACCGTTCCGAAGGCTGCTTGCAAGTAGGGGCAACTTGACTTAGCTTTTTGGGACACAATAATCCCTGTATGTAATCCCAAGGGTCAACCTTGAAATCCTTTAGGATACTGGACACGAAAATCCTAAAGGGGAGGGAGAGGCTGTGCCGGGTTTCATGGGGTTTTTAGGGCTTCGGGGGTTGGGGGGGCTTGCGTGAACACACAAACTCTGAACCTACATTCTGAGACACCGGCTTCTCAGGAACGGTTGCGAAACCGCCGTGGGCGTAGCTTCGGTCGGTCGACCCCCACCACGAGCGAATACTCTCAAACTAGCAAACTCCCAATGAAACTCAAAAGCCCTACACATCAGCAACCGTGCCCCAAACTTTTGATCCCCGAGACTTGAACAGATCTGCAGTTGTGGTACCCTAAACCCCTATAGACTCTAGACCCTAACCCCCTAAACTCTATAAACCCTTTTGTACCCCTTGAGAGAACGATGGTGTCGTCTCTTGCGGCCCCAACAAGTTTTGCTGTGAAGGAGAAATGTGCGTACGTAAGCCGCATCGCACATGTGCAGCCCGTAGCCTACTCGCACGGCTTCTTTCGTTAGCCGTAGCCTGAAGCGTTGCCGCTCAGTGTACATCTCAGTGCACATTAGGGCTGAGAATCGGAATGAGGACGTAGTCGTTTGCTACTAGCGAGCATGAAACAACGGCTCGACAGAACGAGTTTTTGCCAGTTTTGCGTATCCAGGGAGTCGACGAAGCTTCTTTGGGAATTTGAGGTTAACCGGCCGTGAAATAGAAATGCGTGCAGAACCCTACTAGCAAATCGCATAAGTCTGAGTTCAGAGCCATCGCTTCTCAAAGCCCTACCTTAAACTACCATAAGCTATCATAACCTACCTTTTCCGTAGATCCCATCTTACGGTTTGCAATTAATAAACTAACCCTACAAAAAACCAGGGTTACGGTAGTTCAAGGTAAGCCCTAAAGCCCTTATAAACCCGAAACGCTAACCCGGAAAGCCTGCCCAATCCAAACAAAGAAGCGTCGTTTCGAAGGTTGAGGCTGCGAGCCAGCGCCTGCTCCATCCACTCTGAGCCGACTCGGGGGTTTAGGGTTTAGGAGTTTAGGGCTTTAGGGTTCAGGGCTTAGTTGGAGTCTCAGAAACCTGCATTTGTCTTTTTTTTGGGGGGGTTACCTTGTTATGATGTCCTCCTTTGAAAAGGTAGGCTTGGGGGGGGGGGGGGGGTTAAG